TTGGGTTCCTGGAACTGAGAGATTTCAAAGAGCATTGGGAGGGATGAAATCTTCATTCCTGGGTCCGGACTCTAGTGGTGACCAGCACCTAGTGATTGTGCACTGCTCTTATGAAAAGGATGCTGGTTAATGTTCAGTGTTCCAGCTGGAAGACAGAGGAGGTGTCTGTCCAGGAGTCATAATCTATGAGAGCTTTCATCTTGAGCATATATAGCAAAGGATAAATTGGGTGCAGGTTTGACATGAGGTAGCCCAACCTTCTTTAAAAGGTACAGGGACACACCAGAAGATCAGCACATCACAATGACAGCTAAAGCCTGGGGGGTTTGTCCCCATACCACAAACTGGGGGGTGTCCCCACACCAAATCCAACAAGTGAAACAAATGGCAAACACACTCATCAATTAATAACTACCTTTAAAGCAAGGGGCACATAGAAGGGTTTTAAACAATACAAAAGCAACATTTTCCCAGCACAATCACCAGCCAGCCTGCAAACCTGCACCCAATTCATCCTTTGCTATATATGCTCAAAGATGGAAGCTTTCATAGATTAGAGTTAGGACCATGAGTAGGGTTGCCAACTTTTTTTGAAGCCAAACCCAAACACTGTAGCGTCATGCGGCAATTTTTTTGTAAAGTATAAACTATGCATATATTTTGTGATTAAATAATATTGGTGTTAATCACAATGTATCAAAAATCATATGGAGTTAATCACAACTTGCCAGTGTGCCACAGGTCCGTAGATATGCATTCTGTACATAAACAATGCCCCCATTAGATGTCAGTGTGCCACAGGTCCCGACTATACTATACAAAGCAGTATCTATATACTCTGCCGCACGCCTTACCGGATATCCAGCAGAGCTCCAATACAGATGTCACCAGCACCAAGATTCCATCTTAGTGCAAACTAGGGATGCACCGATGCGGTGCCGTCCAGCTTACTGATTGGTTAGGAAGCCAGGCTGCTTACCAACAAGTGAAGCTGTTGGTAAGGGTATATTAACCCTCAGGTGAAGTGGGCGACACCCATAGCTGCTAACACAGCAAGAGGAGAGCACACCCTAGTGGAACCACAGGTGCCAGCAGATCCACAGCAGCAAACAGGTAAAACAAATGCAAAGCAGAGAAACTCAGATCAGCTCTGCAGCTGATCTGTGACACTGGCTTCCTAGCCAATTAGGAAGCCGTCATGACCTACCTCCCAGTTTCCTGATTGGCTGGCAAGCCAGCTCCATGCTCCCTCGGCACTGCCGGTCAGAGGGAGAACTCCCTCTGACCTGCAGTTCCCGTATTGGAGGTAAGTATCGGAGAATTTGGGTGAGTACAAGTACTAGTATCGGTATTGATACATCCGTAAAACATATCCTTTTTATTGATAGTTGTCATTAAAACGACAAGCGTTTTCAGGGCCACGCAGGGTCCCCTTCATCAGGCTCAGAAATTACATTGCATAAAAGTACCACAACCTTTATAAAGACATTCTAGTATGGCATTCCTGAGCCTGATGAAGGGGACCCTGTGCGGCCCTAAAAGTGCTTGTTGTTTCAATGACAACTACCAATAAAATGGATTTGCACTAACATGGAATCTTAGTGCTGGTGACATCTGTATTGGATGATATGTACTTTTGCACATAAAAGATGCCCCCACAAAAGATTTCACAGGTTACCTGTGGCATTTTTTCATGGGGCATTGTCACAATCTGGGAACCGATGCACTGGTGCACGAGAGCTCCGGGTTTTGTGGAGCAGGTTTAGAGTAGCAAGCTGGAGTGAAGCCTGGGGTACAGGGCAGAGGACTTGGAAACTAGTGGTCTCAGGAACTGATGCAGCAGTGGGGCTCTGAACACAAGGCAGACAGGGGCATGGGCTGTACACACACAGCAGTAGGGGATACAGATGGACACAGGAGCAGGAGTCCAAACAACAGTGGGAAGGGAACACAAGAAGACAGCAGTGAGATAGTACAACACGGCTAGCTGGAGATAACAGAGGAGTGAGGCTGCAAGGACAAACAGCCACACAGGAGGAAGACAAACTCACAGGAAGCAGGAACTCACAGGGTGCACAAGGGAATCACAGGAGACACAAGAAACAAAGTAGGTAAATGTCAGTTCACAGGGAATCCAAAGCAAATAGTACACAGGGTGCGATAAGGACTTGTTGCTCGAACATCAGGCAACACGTGAGCTGAACATTTAAGACTGAGGTTCAGCATGGATTGGCAGGGAGCCGAGCACCTGGGAGAGGAGGCAAAACCCGGCGCTTGATCATGGCACAGGGAAGTGTGACAGGCATGTTTTATCTGCAATACTACACACCACCCCGTTTCAATTAATATTTAATTTGATTGAATTTAACAAATACCTGTTATTAAGTAGAGAGGTTCAGGTGAGAAGGGCGGTCCCAGACGAAAGCGGTCCACGTCGGCTGCTGCAGGACGATTTCTCCCTCTCTCCCCGATGTCACTTTCTCCCACTAAGTCCTAGCCACAGAGGAGAAAAACAGAGGGAGGGAGGGTTGAGGGACTGGAGACGGCGCCACCTGCCGCACGGTGTGCAAGTCTGCGGCTTTGTCCGGTTTGAACACCCTTGTCCAGGTGAATCCCGGATGGGTGGCAACCCTAATTGGACGATATGTACTATTGCATATAAAAGATGCCCCCACAAAAGATCTCACAGTTTACATGTGGAATTTTTTTATGGGGGCATGTTTTATGTGCAATACTAACCCCACCACCCCTTTTCAATTGATATTAAATTTGATAAAATTTTTATAAATACCTGTTATTAAATAGAGGTTGAGGTGAGAAGGGCGGTCCCAGACTCCCAGACAAAAGTGCTCCCCAACCAACAATTTCATGATGGCTGAGCGGTGAGGAGAACGGAGCCGCTGTCATCCTGTCAGTTTCCGGATGACAGCGGCTCTGTGCGTGGCCGTACGGAGGATCGATAAGTATCATTGATATTTACCGATCCTCTGTGCAGCACAAACACCGGAGTGATCGCGTGATCACTCCGGTGTTTGTAAATAACTGGGGACACATAGGGGGTTATTCACAAAGCTGCCGAAGGCAGCCGTGTGAATAACCAACACGAAGTGAAGTGAGCAAGAAGCTCAAAATTTCCACTCGCCCCCTCGCATTTGGCAAGTGAAAATTGCGTGGGGGCGAGTGGAAATTCATCGTAGTAGCGCTACCGACAGTAACCAGGGGGGAAACTACCGCCGCTTCTGCAGGGGCGATTGTTCAGTTCTCTCTTCTCCTCCTCAGCAGCTACAGAGTAGCCGAGAAGAATGAGTTTTGCTGTCTTCCCTTCACTTCGGCTCCTCTGGCCACCTGCAGCTTCCTCCGCCCACCTCTTCTGTCACAGGCTGGGAGAAAGACTGCAGAGCTACTATTGGCCGGCTGGAGATGTATGCAGCGCTGGACCTGAAGAGAGGCTTCACCTCGGTACATGAAGGATACATCTCTGCCCCCCTCCCTCCCACCACCACCACCATGAGAGGAAGAGGGCACCTGCATCAGATCAGCTATGTGCACTGTAAGTCCCTGTTCTTTCTGCCTTACATTACTGACCTCTGTACGGTGCATTACATTACTGACCTCTTACTGTGCATCACGACTGACCTCTGTATTGTGCGTCATACTGCTGACCTCTGTACTGTGCATTACATTACTGATCTCTGTACTCTGTGTTTTTACTGATCTCCATACTGTGCATCAAAACCACTGACCTCTGCACTCCTATTTACTTCTGTACTGTGCGCCACACCACTGACCTTTACAGTGTGTGTCACACCACCAACCTCTATAGTGTGCACCACGCCGCTGACCTCTGCAGTGCTGGACCTAAAGGCCGGCTCAACAAAGTTGCTGGAGGCTTCACCTCGGAACATGGAGGCAACACGGATGGACCCTCCCCCCACCAACAGGAGAGGAAGAGAGCATGTGAATCAGATCAACTGTGCACTGTAAGTCCCTGTTTTTTCTGCGTTACACCACTGACCTCTGCATTCTGCGCTAGATTACTGACCTCTGTACTGCTGGCCTCGGTACTGTGCGTCACACCGCTGGCCTTGTTACTCTGCGGTGCACCGCTGGCCTCGGTACTCTGCGGCACACCCAGCTGACCTGGCGGAGTTAAGGCTGGGGCAGGGTAGGGGTTAGGTGGGACAACTGGTGGCAAGTAACTCTTAAGGCCTGGCTAGTAGCTCAGGACTTGAAATTTTGAGCCCCAAGTTAGACAGTGTATTTTTTTGCAAGCTGGGTGGTAAGTGTGCTGGGAAATTTTTGCTTTTTTCCTCTAGAAGTCTAACATGCGCTTCCAATGCTCACAGAAATGTGCAAAATGCTTACGTCGCTCATTTCCAGGCATTTTAGTTGAAGTCTGTGGGGCCAAACACACTGTCATTGCCAAAAAAAAGCTCATGTACTTTTTTCAGCGTTTGGCATTTTGCAGCTTGCAACAAAATGCTCAGGTGTGAACAGGAGCTATTTAAATGCATGGGATTTCTTGTGTTGAGTTTTATCGTGCTTTGCTTTGAGCGTCAAAACGCCTAGGTGTGAACAGGGACTAAGAAATACTTAATACATAGTTATAAAGTGTATGCAAATCCTAAGTGTTTATGCTGCTGGTAAACAGCAAGGCTGACCTATGCACATAATGAAGCAAAGACCTGTCTTCACCTGCTACCGTACTGTGTTCTTGTGTGCAAAAAGTAATAGCTAGGATTCAAAGATATAGCTTTGATCATGCAGCCTTGATGTTATCTGTAATAAAATCTACAAATCAATGTAATGACTTTAAACCATCAAAATATTTATTGATATCAAATAAAGATCACAAACAGTTGACCAGATTTAAGTAGTGTTCAAAAGTGGACGGTAACAACACAAAATAGGTCCTGTGTGTAATGCGTTTCTATTTACCACCTTAGTGCTTTATTTATGTTCAATTTTCCTTCAGACAATGTATTGTATAACAGACACAATTACCTATTAATCCTGGATAAAATCTCTTTCATCTGAATAATCAATTCTTCATGCTGAGCTGGATCAAGTTCGATCACACTGTGAAGCTTAGCCATATATATATCAAGGTTTCGTATTGTTGGGGTCTCCACTGTGCCTATGTTGCAAAAGAGTACAATTAAATTTGAATATTGCACCATCAATGAAGTGCATTATATTAAAACAGTATCAATGCAGAACCCATGACAAAACAACTAGTAGATAGTTGAAACAGACGCACGACATATCCCATAGATATTTAAGGGCATTTATTTGTGCAGGCAAGGTCTGACCCTTCTCAGGGCATGAAAGCTACAGTGTGTTGCTAAGTGTTTCAAAAACCTGCAAGTATAGGCAATGTTTATTAATGCAAAGGGAAGGAACATGTGGTTGGAATAGACAGACACTGCTGGCACTGTTAATGTTTGGACAAAATAGCGACTGGGCCCAACTTTCAATCCTGTTTGAGAAATGATTCATTATCTTGGTCTTAAGGCATCTGCCTCCATAGACATAAGATTGTCCCTGCATCCAGTAAAAAAAAAAATTACCAGCTTGGCCAATATCTATACCTTGGATTTAAAGGTCAATTCATTATGTTGAGTGATTATTCTGGTTCACACACTTCTGTCACACCAATGTTAATCTTCCTGAGGCTCCAGCCTGCTTACTGGACGATGAATAAGCACCATACTGATGTTTATTCATTGTGCATTGAGCAGGCTAGAGCAAGAGTTGCTGTTATTCTGTAAGTCCAGGACTGACAAGTTACACATGACGTCAGAGTACAGCAAAGATATGAGTCAATGAGCTGCTGGTTCTGTTCTTCGCCGGCTGCTATCAGAATACAGAAGAGACATCGAGAGCTACACCCCGTCACTCCTGGCATACCTAGTGAGCCCGTACTGACTACCCAGAGCCCCTACTGACCACCTAGCGGTCGCATTGACCACCCAAAGCCCACACTGACCCCCACACTGAGCACCCATAGCCCACACTGACCACCCAAAGCCAACACTGACCACCTAGAGCCCGCACTGACCACCCAGACCCAACACTGACCGCCAGAGAGCCCCACTGACCCTAAAAGCCTGCACTGGCTACCTAAGAGCCCGGACAGCCTCCTGAAAGCTTGCACAGCCCCCCCATAAACCCCACAGAGCCCTCCTGAGACCCTGAAAAAATCAGGCCATGAACCCTGAGCAACACAGAGTATGTAGAAAAAAAAAAAAACCCTCCCTCCCCCACACATAACATACACCAACTATGATTATTTGAGGTACTTTTCCATGTCTAGTTCAGTATGAGTTTTTAGTTATTGTATTTCCTTATTTACTCTTTCTCTTTATTTCTATTTACTTCCACCATCAGCTACATGTAAGGCTACGATTGAAATCATCATATCTCTGTACATTGTGAGGGAATTTGTTTTTCTTACTATGTAAAATTCTATTTTCATAGTAACATAGTATGCAAGGTTGAATAAAGACCAAGGTCCATCCAGTTCAACCTAATAGCAAGACTATTTATTTTCAATAAAGTTTTGCTAAAAAAAAAAAAAGAAGAGTGATGTGTAGGGGGACAGAAAATCTTGCTACCCTTCAGAGGAGGGTCAAGTCATCTGGAGTGGCATACATTAATTGAGTTGGAGACATTTGGTTGATCGAATATCTATGCTTCTATAGAATTATCCAGTATCTGTCATTATCATCCATTTGGGAGGGAATGACATCTGAAGTCTCAGGCTTGTGAGGTTGATTACTAAAATGAAAGATGTTCTTATTAAAATTAGAAGGCAATTCCCTTGTACCGCTCCGGTCTTCTCAAAGCTAATTTGTCGTTTGCAATGGAAACATTTCTCCAACATACAGGTAAGCCTAACTTGCCTTTATGTCCCGTTAAAGAAAAAGGAGGGGACTCTGCCCGAACAGGTACATTCGTAAAGAATAACATGTTTGTGTATTCATCTGCATTGGAGGGTCAGTCAGTAAGGGAGTATGTATAAGATCAGAAAACTGATGTCTCAAGTATTTCCACAAGTGGGCTGATAAGAGACTATGGGAGTCTCCAAACCTTTTCACCACCGTCACGCCAGGTTAATGTAGATTAATGAGGAAATGTGATCAGCAATGTTCAAAGGGGGAAAATGGGTAGGGAGAAATAATGATGTTTGCTGAATCACAATGTTATATTAATCAAGTTGATATTATGCATAATGAAACATATTGTGAAATGTATCTCAATAAGATATAAATTATAAATTTACTTTAAGATAAGGCACACTACCAGAAGTGAGTGTATAACAATTAAAGTGACAGTTTTAAAGCTATTCCACTATATGATTACAGCCTACATTTATTTTTATATTATGATATAAAGGAGGACCTGTCAGTGTGCCTGTGCTATCCACATAGGGGGCTTGTTAGCAACAAAAATAAATAAATGTCACATATTAAAAAAAAATTTAAATGGCCCTATACTCCTGTCCGTCGGCTAGGATCCGAGTCAATGGCTCACTCTCCCCTAGCTTCAAGATCTCTAATGGCACCAGACAGGGCTGTCCATTGTCTCCTCTCCTTTATATCCTCACCATGGAACATCTGGCAGTAGCCCTCAGGCAGGATTCTGCCTTCCAGGGTCTGCAGGTAGGCCCCCACAATTCTAAATTAGCATTGTTCGCAGATGATCTACTACTCTACGTGACCCACCCTCATATCTCCATGCCTACAATTTTACGTGCGTTCCAACATTTCAGCTCTCTGAGTAATTTTCGGGTTAACCCTACCAAATCGGAAATCCTAAATGGGAGCAACAGATCTGCACCTCCTAACTGACAACTACCCCTTCCGCAGTTGCCCAGCCTCGTTGAAATACTTAGGTGTCTCCCTTACGACTAATCTAGTGGACCTATTCTCTGCTAATTTTCGCCCTCTGCTTGACAAGCTCCATCTAGACCTAACGGCCTATAACCGCAAACATCTTTCTTGGCTGGGGCGGATCAATGTACTCAAAATGGACGTGATCCCTAGATTTCTCTATCTGTTCCAGACAGTACCCATCGCCCTACCATCCATATACCTGAAACAGGTCCAAAAGGCCTTCACAAAATGTATTTGGGGCACCTCACGCCCACGACTTGGCTATCGATCACTGGCCCTTCCGAAACACGGGGGGACGGACGGACATCTCCCTCTACCACGCATCAGCCGTCCTAACCCGCATAGTGGACTGGTTCCACAGGGGTGGAGAAACAGTGGGTCGGACTGGAAGAAACACTCACAAAGGGTGATTTAACCTTGGATACCCCCTGGATCCAGACCGACACATCCCCCCCTACCCCTACTAACAGCCCATGTACTGAAACTATGGGATCGCTGTGTCTCTAAACACGCCTTGTCACCTTATATTGGCCCGATGACACCTCTATTCGGGAACCCGACTTTCCCCCCTGCCCTGACTGGGACCTCCTTCGGCAGATGGACATAGGCATCCCACCGCAGGGTGCTTTCGGCGCTACAGGCACAACCACTGATGGGAGTGGACCGCCTTGACCCAGGCCTTGGGGACTGGCTGTCGGAGGGACAATTTCACTCCTTCGTCTCTTCTCTCCATGGACCGGACGGTTTCGGGAGTGAGCAGACGGAGTTTGATTCCCTTCTTCTAGCATCAACACCTCCTACGCACGTAGTCTCCCTTCTATATTCCTTACTCTCCCTCCTAGCCTCTCCTACGCTTCCATCCTACACTTCGGCCTGGGAACGTGAACTGGACCTCACCTTTACAACTGACGAATGGGAGAAGTCGTTTGCCCTCACACATTCTCTGTCCATCGCAAGCAAAGCCCACGAGAAGAACCTTAAAATACTCACTAGATGGTACAGATGTCCCACGGTCCTCCATCAATTTTATCCCAGTGTCTGACTCTTGTTGGAGGTGCGGAGCCTCCCCAGGAAACATGACTCATATCTGGTGGAGCTGTCCCCAGCTTCAAGGATTCTGGCAGGGGGTGTTGGGGACATACCTCAGAGTGAGAGTGACAGGAACAGAGATCATGAATGACCCCAAAATTCTACTATTGTCCATGATCCCTGGTTCGCTCAAGAGGGCGAAGAAGGGCCTGCTACGACACTTTCTTACAGCAGCTAGGGCTGTTGTCCCACGTCATTGGCGTACACCTGTGGTGCCCACCCTTGCGGAATGGGTTGTGGAAATGGACCGCATTGCGGACCTAGAGGGCCTCTTAGCTGGAGAACGGGGTGAGGGAGATAAATATGTACATACGTGGTCCGCCTGGATCGTTTTCAGGAACACTGACGGATTCCAAGCTACACTCTCATCTTAACTTGCCTCCCGGAGGACACCGTTGGCCGCCATGTCTGGGGCTAGGAGACTAACATCCCCTTCCATGAACCTCTATCTGCGCATCTCGGCAGGACCTCTCTCCTCTTCCTACCTTTTCGCTTCTTCCCCCCTGTGGAACCTTCCCCCTGGCACCTTCTCCCTGAGCTGAGCAAATGCAGCTGGTTACCATTCTCATGTGTGCTATAGCCCGAGACACAAATTGCATTCACCTGGGAGGTTCCCCCCCTTGCCCTGTCATTGCGCCCCACGATGGGTGCCGTTGGGAGAGGGCGGTGCAGGCTGCCCAGAACCTGTACCAACCTGTAAGATTTTTATAGAACATTGTGTCCTGTGTGCCATCAGTAATGTTGACATTTTGAAACCACTTATACCCTGCTAACTGTTCTGTTGACGCTACCCTTGGGCCTACTGACCTACAGGCTCTTACTTTTCCTTTATCGTCTGTATTATGTTTTTTTTTTTGTGTCAAGGTGAACTTGCATGTTTACCTTCTTGTAATGTATTTGAAATTTCAATAAACTCAGATTGAACTAAAAAAAAATAAAAAATGTAAGACCCCCCACCCCCACATATACGCACATACAAACGTGATACGCGTCGGAGTGCGAGCAATAATTCTAGGGCCATCAATCACCAATAACACTAAACTGAGTGGTAAAAGCTTTTAAATTGTCACCTATGCGCAATTTTGGGTATAGTAGTTTTTTGCGGTTTCGCAAATGCGCACAATTTTTATGTTTGACATGTTTGGTGTCTATTTACCTGACGTGACCCTGTCTTTTATATGTTACCAAAAAATTGGTTAGTAATAAATGTTTCATAACAAAGTAGGGGAAACCATTTTTTTTTCAAATGTTTTGGTAATTTTTCCTTAATATAGTAAAAATAAAAACCCCAGTGGTAATTAAATACCACCAAAGGAAAGCTCTGTGTGTCCCCAGAATTGGTATAAAATTAGTTTCAGTACAGTGTTGCATGACTGAATAAATGTCAAAGTTCTGCAGCGGTGAAAAATGGCCTGGACAGGAAGAGGTCTTAACACCCCAGGCTTCAAGAGTAACCTAAAAACTGAGTAACCTAAAAACTGTAAGACTGTAGAAATAAGTGCAAAAAAAATCTTTCCTACAAGTGCTAACCTGGAATTGGAAGCAAGGCAAAGCCTGCCAGCAAATTCTCTTGGACCGTTTGTAGTTGCTGCTGAAGGGCCACTGTTTGCCTTTCTTCCTGTACCAACTCCTGTTCAAGTCTTTCTTTTGCAATCAGCATGCTTTCAGTGTGTCTCTGTAGGACAGCATTCTGCTCTTCAAACTCGGTGTTCATTTTTCGTAGCCTCCTAAGTTCTGCTTCACAAACTAAAAAACAAACAAAAAAAAACAAAAACCAAAAGTATACATATATATATATAACATAGTAGGTGAGGTTGAATAAAGACCATGGTCCATCCAGTTCAATGTGTGTGTGTTTGTATTTATGTGTATTTAACGCTTCCTATATCCTTGTATATTTAGTGACTGAAAAACTAATCTAGAAGTTTCTTGAACTTTTCTACGCTGTCAGCGGATACCACTGCTTGTGGAAGGGAATTCCACATTTTTACTACTCGCACAGTAAAAAAAACCCTTGTGCAATCTAAGATTGAACCCCCTCTCTTCTAACCTCTTGTTGTGTCCACATGTTCCAGCTTGTTCCAAAATATTGTTGTCCCCATTAAAAGGAGAATTATGGGGTTAGGGCTTTTACCCATAGTTCTCCTTAGGGTAACGGGAGGACACAAACTAGCGTCCTCCCATCACCCTAAGCTCAGTATACCGTGAGCTACAGTTCGCAGTATACTGAGACGCTGTAGCTGAAGCGGATCCCGACAATTATGTCTGGGTCCGCCCAGCTGCGTGAGTGACAGCTGGCTCTGCCTATCTAGAGGCAGAGCCAGCTGTACCCACCCCCTCCGTTCCGCCATTCATCGCTGGAGGATCGGAGCGGGGAATCCAGTCCCTCCCCTGTCACGTCTCTCTGCTGTGAGAAGTGAGCGAATGCTGGTATGTGTTCGCTCACCTCCCGATCTACTGAGCCGATCTGTGACAGTCTCATTGTCACAGGTCGGCTAGAACTATGAGATGAGTGAAAAGCACTCACCTCATAGTTCTCCTTTAATGATTTTGAAGACTGCAATAAGGTCCAGTCTTAATCGCCTCCTTTCTGAGAATAGATTTAATTGTTGGAGGTGGTCTTCATAGCTTTCATAGGCCTTCTATCCCTTTAATTAATTTTGTGGCCATTCTTTGAACTCTCTCAAGCTCTTTTTAATAGCACACTCTTATCTTAATACTTATATATAACTTTTTTAAATGATACTGCACAAGTTCTTCTTTCACTTTGGCTCTGGTACATTTTACCTCCAGTCTTGAATTTTGCTGCATTAAAATTGGGCTTTTTCACACAGAGATCTTCTCTCCCCCCCCAGCGCACAAACATTGGTCTTTCCACTTTATCTTTCCTCCACATTGACGAGTTCCCCTTCAAGGGACTCCTCCCTGGAAAGTACCCATACTCCCTCTACACAAATTGCATACTGAACAGTATCTATGCCATCCCCATAGCCATTACTTAGTGAAACTGCACACAGATTTTGGATGTTCAGTACGAAGCATAGCTCAGCAGCAGTTTGTGCCCCTTTTTGCAGAAGGAAAGTTTCTTGTCATTTTGTAGTCAAGTGCCTTTAGCGTGTCATGGCTGCATGGCGTGAATTACTCTCGAAAAATAGCAGTACACTTCCTGGTATGTGAGGATACCTATTCAGAGTCACAGTAGTATATCTGCGGTGTAAATCTTTGGTTCCGCTACCTATGACTGCTAGACACAGGAGATTTGGAGTGAGATATGGTAATGTTACTTACTGTACTACTCACTGTTCTTGCTAAAGGCTCTTATATGATGACGTAAAGCCCTGACTCTACCAAGATAACGGCCCCGCTTTCAGAATTACAGTGCAGAACAAAGTATTGTTAATCAGTAATGGGGGGAAATCAGGCAATACTGGTGGCTAGTCCTTTCTCTTCCTAAGTTCAGTTCTTTAAGTACAAGAATAAGTAAAAAGACAAAAAAAGATGACATACAGAGAAAGAACTACTTTAAAGATGTAGCCATAATTTAAAATACATATTCAAGCAAAAATATAAAATTACCTTTGTTTTGATCCAAAAATTCTTCTGTAAATATAGGAACATCAAATATTGCTAATCCATTATTTTGTGATTCTCCAGTCTGAAAAGACAGACACCACAATTCCTTATGAACTAAATGTGCCCCATAAAATAGTGATTAAGCAAAATATTATCAAACTACTGGTCACTGCAAGTCCTTTTTACAGGGAAGCCGGGTGGCTAGTCTTTACACGCTGCCCGGCTTGCAGGCTAAATCAGGATTTCTTCTATTATTTGTTCTATAAACAGTATCTCACAGAAGTGAGTACACCACTCACATTTTTGTAAATATTTTATTATATCATTTCATGTGACGACACTGAAGAATTAACACTTTGCTACAATGTAAAGTAGTGAGTGTACAGCTTGTGTATCACATTTGTTGCCAGTGGTTTAGACATTAATGGCTGTGTTGTTATTTTGAGGGGACAGCAAATGTACACTGATATACAAGCTGTACACTCACTACTTTACATTGTTGCAAAGTGTCATTTCTTCAGTGTTGTCACATGAAATTATATCAAATATGTATAAATTTTGAGGGGTGTACTCACTTCTGTGAGATACTCTATCTGTAGCAAGACACAAACAAGAAACTCAACGTCTCTACATCCTAATGTTTATTGTAAAAGAAGTTTTCGTTTCCCCTTAGGCTGAAAGCCTGATATAGAGATTTCATGTTCAAAATAAAAATGTATAAAGTTCAATAGTTTAGGAAGGAGGGGTGATAAATAGTGGTTTTGTATTTCAAATGAAACACCTTAAAAGTTAAGAACGGATTAAAATAAAATTTGGATGTTAGACAAGGAAATGGTCATGGCACTCCTTAAGTTGTGATTGTTTTTTTAGGTGATGTTCTGCGACTGTCTGAAACTGGAGCAAGTGCAGATGAAAATAGCTGCAAAAAATGCACAATTGAAAAAGTAGTTCAAGCTCTGGTCAAAACAGGTGCAAAACACGTGCAGTTGGGAAAATAGCGCAAGCTCAGGTCAAAACAGGGGCACATGTTAAAAGACAGATTTGCACATAAAAAACAAAATGATCTAAGAGGCTAAAACTGTCGCAATTGCTTTGATAATTTCCCCCCATTCATTTCCTAAAAGTACTATACCCAAGGGTGCCAGTTTTCTATGCTTTACCAAACGTTCATAAGGATATAACAAGACCACTGAGTAGACAAATAATTTCAGAATGTGGGGCAATTACAGAAAAGAAGTATCTATTTGGACCTGTTTTTGAGACCACATGTTGAGCAACTTTCCTCTCGTGTCTGAGATACCCCTATTTGATTTAATTGATTAGTACCACGTGGAAAAATTCCTGTTGGTTTGGATGTTGAGGCTTTATATTCATCCATTCCGCATAAAAAAGGGGCCTTGGTTGGTTAAATAGTTTTTGGACAATTAAGCTATATTTGAACAAAATATTCTTTTTATACTTTTGTAGACAAGAATTGGATTTCCTTTTAATAATTACAACCACCTCCAGGTGCAGGGTTCTGTGATGGGGACTACATGTGCCCCATCATATGCGAACTTGAACCTGGGGGTGTGAACAGGAGATACTATTGAGGAACGACCTGTGCCACATTTTGTACATGTATGACATCTTTGTCCCTTGGACAGGATCTAAGGAACTTTTACAACAGTTTGTGAGAATCCTAAATTGCATTGAGTACAATTTAAAGTTAACAATGGTGATGGATGATAAACAAAATTCCCTATTTTTGAAAATGAAAAACTGTAAGCATTTGCAGGAAATATCATATATGACAGTTTATAGAAAAAGTACTGCTGGTTATACCATCTTAGAGGCAAGCAGTGCACACCCTAATCCCCTTATTAAAAGGATTCTCAATCTCAAAAAAAAATATAGAATATAAAAATAAGAATATAAAGAAAGAAAAGCTTATAATAGGATAACATTTGAAAGTGAAGGGTCTGATTGAACAGAGCAAAACAAAAAGAAAAGGAGAGGAGGAAGAGAAAGTCAAGATGGATTTAAACTACAATAACCAACATGATGAGGCTTTAAATATACTGTCAAAACATTGGCATTACCTAATAAAGGATTCTAACATTTCAAAAATTGTTATGGATAGACCTGGAATAACATTTAGGAAGGCTAGGTTACTGAGACACAGATTGCTTACCTGTGAGTATAGTAGGAATAGAAAGGTGAGATGTAAATTTAAAAGGTACATGTCAATGTCAGAAGTGTAAGTTCTGTAAGTATATCAAGATAGTATTGGTGGGACAGCTGTTCAAAGCCAACATTTTCCAAATTGTGAGACAGTGGGGGTTATTTACTCCAGCTGGGTGGATCTCAAGAGTATTGTCTGGATCCGTCCCGGCTGCGGCGGTCTCAGTATACCGCGAGCTGCAGCTCGCGATATACTGAGCTTTGCGTCACGGGAGGATGCTAGTATATGTCCTCCCGTGACCCTTAAGAGAACTATGGGGAAAAACACTTACCCCATAGTTCTCTTTTAAGTGTTATATGTTTGTATATTTAGGTTGTGGTACATGCTATATGAGATATTACTAATGACTTTGCATTTGCCTCTCCATTGTACACAGTGAAAAGGAAGTTCCACTCTGAGTGTGGAACACAGCCATGTGTGGAGGAACAGGGCCCACTTTGTGTTACGATGTCATGGAGAGACATACGCCACTGAACACTGTATGTCTAGTGTGTGATGTAGAGCAGATCATGCCCCTCTGAGGAAGTCCTGATAGGAGGAGGAAACACATCAGAGAGCATGCATGGTGTGTGGTGTCTCCATGCACAACACAATCAACTCCAATCTGTGGTATGCTTGTATTGTCATAAACAGATGGACCTGTTCGGGAGAGCGTTTAACAAGGTCTTGGGCTCTTGAGGTACCATGAGATAACACAAGACTCTGATTAAATTGAACCACATTATATGACGGTTTGCAACAGAAGAATGGCGTGATTAACTTATGAACTATACTATATGTTGAAATATAATATGAGCCAGTGGGACGACATGAGGCATCTACTACTTGCCATTTATTTAAATTTTTTAAATGCATTCTTTGACTGAAAAAGGTACAAAACAAGTAGCATATAAAAATATTGACACTCAATCATCAAAAAGTGAACAGTGCAATGTACAAATACGAGACATATCATGGAAACATATCCATGAATAAAGACCATGTCAAGCAATATACATCGTTTTCAGTAACGACAGAAGTGATACATAAAAGTACCAGTAAAGCAATGTTCTTAAGCAAAAGAAGGATCAAAGAAGAAAAAAACAAAACAAAACACTTTGTCTAAGGTTTAGCTAGGATTTTGTGATGATGATAAAGAGATCATTCAAAAGGAGGTAGGAAAGGGAGGAGGGAAACAGGAGGAGAAGATAGGGAAAAAGGGAAGGGTGAGCAGTGAAAAAAAAGCAGAGAAAATGGGAAGGAGAGAGAAAAAAAGAAAAGAAGAAGAAGAATGCCCCCCCCCCCCCCACTACAATGAGACGCCGCCCATGTCAGACAGGAGAAGCCCTGGAACAAAGCCAAATCATGTGAGAAAAGTATGATAGGGCACGTAAAATTGATTTAAGCACTCAATGGGTCATAAGGTCAGTATAACGATCAGAGTGTCAAAAATAAATCCAGGAGTCCCACGTGGAAGATAATTTCCCCTCAAAATTTCTTAAGGAAGCTTTCAGGTCTTCCATAACATATACATTTGTGCACCTTAGAGAGCCACAATTGAATTGTAGGAAGACATGACCGTTTCCACAGCAATGGGACACATGCTCTAGCAGCGTCCAATAAGTGGTGTGTGAGGGAGCATTTGTAGTTGGAGATCGGAATCTAGGACATGTGTAAAAGACATGCCGCCAGGTTGTTTTCTGAGGTTTACCATAGTTAGGCCTTCGATGACAGTCAGAAAAACATGTAGCCGCATCTCTAGCACTGATCAGAGATGGAGGCCCTCTATTTGTGTGAGAGCCAAGGAACCCTATACCAGCGAGACACTATGTTGTACACCATTTCTTGAAATTTGCTGGCAGTGGAGGATTTGAATGACATGGTAATGAAGGGTGTGTCTTTGTTGGTCTGTAAAAGTGTACCCCAAGTCCTTTTCCCAACTCTGTAAGAATGAGGGATAAGTATCTGTAGACGATGAGGTTAGCAATTTATATATAGTAGAAATAGTCCAAAAGGCAAGTTACCCATGCACATATCTTCATATACCGTATAGGGTCTATCCACGCCACAGGGATTCAGGATAACTCGTAGAAAATGTCTTGAGTTTCATGGCACTCCAAAGGTCAAAGGGAGGTTCAACCAAAGACTGGAGAGCTGGGCATGTAAGCCAAGCAGAGTTCTCCTGGAAATCTATCAGTCTAAATTTTTCAGCTGACAAAAGGCGGGGGAAACGAGTGTTGCCAGCACTCGGGGGACAAAGTCTGGATCTCCCAGAACTGGAATCATGGGCAGGAGAAAGTAACTATGCAGTATTGCACAAGCCTTCCGTATAGTGGCAGATTTTAAAGGGTGCTCTTGGATCGTGGGCGGGAGAGCTAAGGAAGCCCCTCCAAAAGGGAATTGGTAGGTACATCTGTCTAGGGAAACCCATAGCTTGTCGTTGCGATGCAAGTGCCAATCCAAAATCCTGTTTAAGTGAACCGTCTTGTAGTACAGGTGGAAATCAGGCAGTCCTATCCCTCCCTGGTCACTGGGAAGAGTTAGGGTCTGTCTGCTGATCCTCGAATGCTTACCGGCCCAGACAAAGGACTCCAAAGCCCTATGTAGACGTTGGAAAGAAACCAGGAGGAATGAAGATCGATAAGGCTTGGAACAAAAAAAGAACTTGAGGCAGAATGTTCATCTCAACGCCAGCACATTTGCCAAACCACGAGATGGTAAGGTTAGACCAGATCTTAAGATCTTTGAGTATCTCCGTCAGTAATGGAGTAAAGTTAGCAGCGTACAAATCTTTGATATCAGCCGTGATGTACGTCCCTAAATATTTAAGTTGATTAGTCGCCCAGTTTAAAGATAAATCAAAACGTGGTTGGGTGATA